ATTTTTTTAAGCTGATGTCTACAAAATATATGAAAAAATATCACACAACTTCTGAAATTCTAACATTAAGTCTTTATTTGTTGTTACTTGACCAGTACACAGACAGAGACAGCTAATTTTGTATTTATATAGTATATATATATTATATTTCAATTTTACATTACACATCAGAATGACGACAAAGCAGGTAAGAGTCTTTCTACTGTTGTGAATAGAAACGAGTTAATAGGGAAGGCTCCCACATACGAAAACAAACAAGAAAAAAAGACCTTATTGCTTCATACAAATCAATAACAATGGCAGTAAGTAGAAGCATAAGAGTCGTCGTAACACGTTAATCAAGATCATTATACCAAGATGAGGTTACACCCTACAGTTAACTATAAAAAAACTCAGGGGAGAGAAACAGAAGTATGCTTTCTCACATTACAGTATTATTAGTGTCTGGTAATGGTAACCTGCTCTAGAAATAAAACGTTTCTGTACGAGCAAGGAGGTCTAAAGAAAGCGATCCAATGAGCAGCCGAGAGGAAGCCGCGCCGGCGTGCGTTTCTGTTTCAAGACCTCTGGAGAGGAGGATGGAGGAAAGAGCTGCTGTTTACATGTTCAGGGTTAAAACAGATGAGGGGGCACAGAGAAGAAGTGCAAATGGTGAGATTGACGTGTAGAATGACGAAACCGTACAGCACTTCAAAAAAGGGACAAGATACATTCAGGAGGCCCCCAGGCAGTGTGGGTCGAAAGTTGTGTGGGAGGAAATCAGAGTGTAAGATGGCAGAAAATAGCTTTTTGTGGTGAGAAGGAACACTGAAAAAAAGACTGAACAAGAACTCTGCTACATGCAGCCTCAAATGTTAGAAAATTTCCTCGCAGAGTGTTTTAACCTGATCTCTTTATCCATCTTAATTTCAATTTATACTTTTGATATATCAACAACAGTTAAGCTCTCATGCGTTAACAGGTTCACATTCTTTTCCTTTAACATTCATTCATCTATATTTCAGGGCAGCATCTCTCTCTGTTCTGCACTACTCTCTTCATGCTCCCCATTTCCCCCTGGTGGTCCTGAACAGTTACTGCAACACTCTTGAAAAGTGACTTCAGCTGATAGCCCTTTAGGGTGCGGCTAGGCTTGCCTGTGAGAGTCGGGGCACCTTGTGATTTTTTTGAGGGAAAGGGGATATTTTTTTTGTTAAGGTGGTCGGGGGTTGCCCTACATTCCGAGCTTGGAGCCCAAATGGCGCCAAAAAAGCCCCGCCTCTTGCAGGCCGCCTGAGGGGACACACACCTCAGTGTTTGGTAGCTACGCCCCTTCCTAAAGGGGAATGAAATGTCTTGTTTCAGATTTCTAAAAAGAACTGAAACCAGTAACAGGTGATGCGTTGGCACATGAATACTGGACTTCAATGCAGCTAGAAAAACCAGGGAGCGCCATGTTTGGACTGAGTCAGAGTTTACAGCAGATGACAGCACGTTTCTTCTCTAGTCACAAACTACTCTTATATTTATATGACCACTATAAGCGCTAAACTAGTGTGATTACCTAGACATTAAATACCAAATAACTCACTGACCATAAAGCGACGAACTTCTTCGTTTGTGTGAATTTTGAGTGTTTCAGTTGTATCTTTGGCGCCGTTCCATCACAAAACCCAGCCCACGCATCTTTGTTTTCAGTAAATGAGTGAAAATGTGTGCTAGTGTGTGGAGAGTGTACCTTTAAAGGGTGTAGCTTTGGTATATCCACGCAAAAGGGCTGGGCGCTGTAAGGGAAGTTCTTTGGTGCTGGCCGGGTTCGACCCAGTCGTACCTTGGTTCCTTAAACCTTCACTGATGGGCATCTATGACTCTAAACATCCATCTATTTAGCCTAATGACAATACTCCTATTATTACATACTAGTTACACAGGAATGTCCTAAGAAATACATTGGCATGCAGCATGTGTAAGTAAACACCTTGACACAATGTGTATGTGGCAGATTGTCTCTAACATGAGCTAACCTATGCATGCATGCATATCTTAAAGCCGCACTCAGCCAGTCACTGTATTAGAGGCAATTTTCGCTTTAACAGCTGAATATTTCATACCAACAGTGGTTATGCTCATCTGCTTGGCTTGTTACTATCAAGAAAGAGCTTCCCCTTGGTCATTTTAGCACAGAGAAACACTCATCAGGCTTTTCCTGGCCTATTATCTCTTATTCTAACTAATAATAACAACTATTATAAACAGAAGAGAAGAAATATACTCTAATTTTTTGATAGAGGTAGTAGTTTTAAATCCTACAAACAGCAAAAATAAAAAGATGAGCCTTCGCTTATGCATGAAAAAAGCCTCTAGCTTCATCTGATTATCATTGAGCTAAAGAAAAAGTGCATCAAAGAGCCTTTATGAGAAATAAGGTAATTGTTAATTTGTAATTTTGATGCAGTTATTAAAAAAGGTTGTAAAATAAAGACATATAGCCCACCGAGCAAAACTGCTTCTGATTCTAAGCTGCTTTTGATTGTTTGGTGCATTTTTTCTTAGACAGAGAATAGCTTTAAAATCCAAAGTAAAACCTAAAAAAAAACTTTACAGTTTACCAGCTAAGACACTTAAATTTTCAACCTTCAATAAATTCTCGAGCTATCACAAACCGCAATACATTTTTGAGGTATTTATTACAAAAATAAACATAAAGTAAAAAATGTTTATACTTTTTCTGGCCATCATTGAGCTGAAATAATAATAAAAAAATACTTTAATTAAAGCTACAGTGTGTAATAATTACAGGCATATAAATTCAGAAATTTAATATATTATACATAACTATGTTATTTATCATTACCTATGAGCTCAGCCTTTTAACCATAATATTTGCGTTGCCTTAGAATTCGTTATTTATAATTACATAGGAGCGGGTCTCGCAGCCATGGAGGCTGACATCTTTGCGCTACGGCAGCGCAGAGGCAACAAACTAGCGATTGCGAGATCTCCCATGACGCTCGAAAATAACTACGGCAAGTTGAGAGAGATTAACTGAGACGGTACTGAACAGTAGATGGCAGTATTATGCCTGAGAAGCGTTTAGTCTGCCTGAAACCAAAGAAGAAGAAGAAGCAGGTATACTGCGCCTCGGTAACAAGAAAGGTAAACAAGGCGGCAGGCGTGAGTGACTTTGCAAACTGTTTGGCACTGTGTGGCCAAACATCAGACAAATGGAGGATCATGCCTACTCTGTATCACAACGAAAAGCGGCGGACACCGAACCCCCGTCATCTAAGAAGCGGAAACACGACGAGAATAAACGCAAGAGTGACAAGAAACGGCAAAAAACACGGATCAACATTGGCACGGCATTTACACGATGGAAGTCACTGATGGAGGAAAAAGGTTTTCAAAGTGACGCTCAAGTTGCCAGTTTTCTCTTGGACAGGTAATTAATCCTACACACACAATTGTCTAATATCACTGCAGTTTTTGGAGTACAGGATGCTCAGACCTGTCTAAAACAATAACATGCTGCGTGATGATGCTGTTACTCTCCAGTATACTTATTCAGCAACGTCCCTGACGTTTCACAGGTAATGATTCAGTAATTTTCTGTAAAATAATTTTCTGGATATATACCTCGGTTACTTCTCTCCGGCTCCTTTGGAGATCTTCAAGCCTTTCCTCCTCTGCTCTCACCCCGCTGGCACCCCTCTCTCGCCTGGCCCCAGCTGCACGCCCACCCCGCCCTCTCTGCCCTCTTCCTCTCCCTCTTCCTCGCGTTGTAACCCCCGTGCCACAAACAAGACTTGGACTCTGTAAACGGGGAATATATATTCTTCCAGCGAACACAATCTCGCTGTTAAACTAATGACTACAATTACTTCGTCTGTTTATATCACCATGCAAAGCAGCTCACCAAAACGTCACAACGACGTAGAAAAAATAACGGGTATATTTATTATCTTAAGTCTACATGAAATCTATACCCTACACAGACTAATGAAATACTATCTGTAAAATTATCTATGTAAACAAACCTCATCACTTGAGAAGGTAGGTGATGCGGACGTCGTGGAAGACATTTTGTCCCGTAACGCTCGCCGTACTGTTGGGGGGGAGACGTTCATGTTGCTGCAGTCTGCAGTCTGACCGCTAGATGTCGCTGAAAATTACACACTGTAGCTTTAAAGAGTTCTACTCAAAACAGCTTAAATGACCTAAATAATTTCTAAGAAATGTCTAGCTCTAACCTTCCTCAAGAAGCCCAGAAAAATAAGCCTAACACAACTAAAAAAAATAAATAAAATACAACTAAAACCATCTAAAACTAAAAGTCTTTTTACCTTCCTGTAAGTTAAAAATGCACATTTCTCAGAAACTGCGTTTCCTAGCCTCACATGAGACCATGCAGCTCCAGATTGTCATCCTGCATAAAAATGTCTTATTCCAAACATTTCCACCATAACTCACTGCAAGTATTTAAACTAAAATACAAACATCTGCTTCAATTCCAGGATCCAAGGTGAAAAAAAAATGCCTGTGCCTTTTTTTCTAAGGGAAAAGCAAATATTCAGCGCCAGGTTGAATAAGATGATGACATCACCTTCTGGTATTTTATATTGTTATCAGTACAGGCCAAGTGCAGCTTTAATTCAGCATGCTCTACTCTAACTGGGCGCTAATATATACTAACACATCATGTCTAAGATCTGCAGGTGAACTTGGCTACAATAAGACAACGTGATGCCATCTGTCTGACTCTGGACCCGCCGTTTCGTTTTCGACCGTCTACTCGTGGCAAGAGATCAGCATCCCTCCAAGCACTGCAGAGAGAGATGCTCCCAGTTTCTCACAAATGACATCAACTATTTTCCAAGATCCACATGCATTTATCTGTTGTCACTCATTAACCTTTGTGGCACCCCCAAAGACTATCATTCTCATTGTTGCCTTTTGATCAAATCTTAACAGAAGCTTTTTAATTACACAAAAGTGTTGTTTGTATAAGTGTGTGTGTTTTGAGGAGTAGGGGGGGATAAGGGCATATATTTAATGAGGAACACTTAGCAAACACAAGAATGACACTTCAAGAGCAAAACCAGCAGTTTAAATCTTTAAGTGTGGGACAAGGGGGAGTCTGGGTGGATATTCAAAGGTCTGTTGGGTGTGACTGAACCAGTACAGATGGTATTTTACAGTGACAGTGGGAAGGAGATGGCAGACAAAGATAAAGACAGAGAGAGAGAGAAAGATGTCAGCTAATGCTCATCATCAAGCCTTATTTTGGATCCTTTTTCATCCCTCTCCACCCCTCTACTACCCTTCTTCCTCCCCTTTCTCTGGGACTCCTCAGCAGGAAACCTCCATGGTCTGGGAGACAGCGCCCACCCCCTCAGCGCTGTCGGAGTTGGTGCAGGCCCGGGAGCGGGAGCCCTCCACAGAGCCGGCACTGGTCAGGGAGGCCGTCCTGGAGCGAGCGAGGCGGGTCATGCTAGCAGAGGGCACTGCGAGGAACAAAAGAAGGGTTAGATTTTGGGAAAGAAAAAAAAAATCAAAGTAATGAGGTGATGTGTGGGTGATGTAGGGAGGACATGCTAATGTGAACAGCTGACGAATATACCTCGCTTTTAGCTGACTGCTCATACATTGGCGATAAAATGCTTGGGCTGATAAAAAGCTGCTAATGTGTCAACAACCAGACACATTTTTAGCACCATGCAGGTTATTAACAGTTTAAGATACACAGAAATATATGGAGATAAGTTAAGACTTTGTAGCTCACAGTTTCTGATTCATTTCTAATCTCTTTTGGAAGGTGAAGGCAGTGCACTGGAAAAAAATCAAAATCTAGATTAGTCAGTTTTTCTTAAAATAAGAGTATTTGTTCTTGGATTGAGGAAGTAAAAGAGACATTTTTCCAATGGAACAAGACAATTTAGACTTAAAATAAGAAAACACAACTGCATTTTCTTATTTCAAGTGCATATTATCTAATTATCTTATTTTAAGTAAAAACACTCATTCCATTGGCAAATCATCTCATTTACCTACTCAAATTAAGGATAAATACACTTAATTTAAGAAATTTTTACTTGATTCTAGATTGTTTTTCCAATGTGACTATGTTATTTCATATTCTAATCTAAAACAGCCACTTTTTTCCCATTCAAAAAGGTAAAAATTCCCCAAATGCTGAAGTGCCTTTTAAAGGGACTGTTCATCAATATATCATTGTTTCACCAGATTTCTCTACCTGAACAAATCTAGCAAAAGAAGGGAGTAAAAAGTGTTACAATGTTTAGGTTTGTACTAAATGAAAAACCCGGTGCAATAATGAACATACAGTACATAAACTAAGATCCAATGCATAAAGTTGTAGCAGTAAAAAAAAATTATATTTTAAATTTCAATGTGTCATCCACATTTTTTGTAGTTTTACTGGTAATTGTTTTAAAAAGCTAGCCCTCCTACATCAGAGAAGAGGGTCAGTAAACTCCCAGCTCAGCGTTTGAAGAAGAAAATGTAAGAGATGGAGTCACACTGTAGAAGCGAGGTGAAAAAAAAAATCATCTTTTGAGAGAACCATTGATTTTTAAGGCAATTCCATAAGACTACAAAGCTATAAATTTAGAAAAAGTAAGAGAAAGTCTGTAAAACATACTTTCTTTGTGTTCTGATGTCTGGGGAATAAATTATAATCGTAACCTATCTGAAAAAGCAGAAAGAAAACTGATGGTTATAGTTCTTTTTTCTAAGGTTCACACAGCTTGGCTTCAGGTGTATCTTGCTAAACATTTGGACATCTTTGCTTTAAGTGGGACCAATGTGTGTGGATATTTTTACTGGGTTTTATTAAAAGATACTTGATTTGTTACTCTATTGCTCAAAGTTAGCTTTTTGCCATGCAAAGAGCATAATTGGGGATGCAATGAAGTAGGAATGGGGAAGAGGGAGTGAGGACAGTATATTTTTCCAGTGAAGGAAAAATTTGGTCTGATTAAAAAAAAAAAAACCAAGAATAAATAAAAAGAGTGAAATAGATAATCACAGCCCAAAAGATATTGTAATATTCATAACCCAAGAGATGAACCAAAGAAAATGAAAATAAATTTGAAAATGCCATTGGACAGGGCAGCAGTAGGAGGTCAGAGCTGAATGGGAAGGAGGAAGTACCTGGCCCTCCACTTAACCTCCGATCCTTCACATTAGCGACTGAAAGAACGGGGCAAGGAAGACAGAGGGCAAAATTAACAATTCATGTCCCTCTGAATGAAAACATCATTTTCACAAGACAGTTATGCTACACATTTTTTTGTCAACTCACTTTTACTGACAGAAATTGGTAAAACTGAAGGTACTTACTGTAGCCCATTCCCTGTAAGAAATACTTGAAGGCTTCAGTCAGCTTTCCTGGCTGAAATGAAACGCATCATTTGTTATTCTCTCACATTTATATGCTGCCTTCAATGTCTGTCTGAAGCTTATTTTAAAGGATTTTATTGGAGGGCAGCCAAGTAACTGGATGTTACCTGTGTGAGCTGTGGGAGTCCACCAGAGTCCGCCATCTACCATAGAAAAAAAAACAGCATTAACACTAAAGTTCAAGAATTGAAAAATGTTAGAACTTTCTTTGCAACAGATGAGAAAGAAGCAGCCTCAGCTGAATGCTTTTAAGAAATTTAAAAGAAGAAATAATTTTGCCCATTTAGTTTCCATTCTTTTAGCAGTAAAACTGCTCCTTTATGCAGATGACATCATATTGTTACTAACCCAACCTACTTTAAAACAGATTGTTACCAAGATTGATTCTGCTCCCAAGAATAATTATTTAACTGAACCAAATGAATGTTTCACCAAATTCATCTTGTTTTTCATAATGCTGTTACATATACATTTTGGAGCACCTTTTTGAGAGCATACATCCAAAAAATATAAGTTAATTTGGCTATTAGCTAATTTTCTTAGAGTGAAAATACAGCATTTAGAGAAAAAATGATTGTTGAAGTAGATTATTATTAAAATGTGACCTAGTCACTTTATCAATAAGGGGAAAATCTTATGCACATTGAATTTTTGTTGTGGTGTTTTTGCCCATGGGGACATATACAGGCATGCTGTGAAATTTAACTTTTTTTTCCCAAACTTAGTAGAATTATTTGAACCTTGTTGTGCGATATGCTAAATCATGTGAATAATTCTGCCTCTTAACTGGGTTTTAAGTCCTCCAGCAGCTCTGTTAAAGCTTATACAAGGTGGGCTTTTTCTAAGTTTTTATTCTGTTTATATTCAAGGGTCATATTTTTTGTATTGGGTGTGTGGTTTTGATTTCTTTCCCCATTTATTTTCCTATTATGGCAATTTGGTTCACTTTTTGTAATTTTGCATTTTTCTTTTTACTTCTCTTTGATGTTGCCTTCAAACAATTTCTGATTACTATTTTGCAGACACTAGCTGTCTAAATTAAAGATGTTAAGTTACCTTAAGGAAGGTGGTGTTGGTCGGGTCCAGCTTGGAGTTGCACTCAACCTTGAAGACAAAGTCAATAACAGAACTTTAAGACAATTCCTCCTAGTTGAGCCTTGGCTTGTAAGACAGATTACCATATTTTCATGCTAACATGATTCCTTGTAGCTTCTTTAATGACTAAAAACATTGGGTGGTGAAGAGTTTCTACACATCGTTCCTCTGAGTTTCATCCAAAGCTCACATAACAATGGGGAAAGGGTAAATAGGAAACATTGGTTGTGAACAAACAAGACCAATTGTGGCACACATATAGTTTTCGTTCCACTGATTCACTAAGGGACTGGTGACCTGTCCAGGGTGTACCATGTCCCTCGCCCGTAGAGAGCTGGAGATAGGCACCAGCACCCCTCACGACCCCACTTAGGATAAAAGCCCAACAGAAAATGGATGGATGGATGGATGGATGGATGGATGGATGGATGGATGGATGGATGGATGGATGGATGGATGGATGGATGGATGGATGGATGGATGGATGGATGGATGGATGATTCACTAAGGAAGCACTCATAGGATGTGAGTCCAGTCAGTTTAAAGGCTGGAGCATCCCAAAGATCGGCACTCTTGGACATTGAACACTGTACATCTCTCAATCTGAGAAGAGCCTCAGCATTGACTCTCTGCCATTTTTCGGGCTTGTTAAAGTGATAAAATCCAGTTCTATTCCCATGTGATTCTTATAAAAATGTGGATCTGCTGCAAGAATAACAGGATAGGGAAAGAGATTGATGATTTCACCAGTGGATGAAAGGTTTTAAATTCAGCATGATGAGCTTTATGAGATAGATCATGAGGAATGATTGGCTTTGTAGTGGTTGGGTCCCAACATCAACTGGCTGCAGCTTGGTTCTGACATGTCAGGGGGTGATTCAGGTGAGTCTTCCCATTTCAGTTTTCTTAAGCTTTATTTAATATAATTGGCATCAGGGGAAATATCGGGTCTACATATGGAGAGTTCCCTTTTATGTGCTGAGTCACTACAAAGCGTTTTTATCTAAGGAGTTGAGGGATTCAAGTGGAAGTGTTGCCATTTTAGATATTAAAATGTCTTTTAAAAATCTTGAACGGCCGCTGCAGGGAAATGCAGGTGTTCCCTGTAGAATATTTCTATAAAGGATATCCCTGCAGTTTACATAGAGCATTAGCATTGTGATAGTGTTGGATATTAGCCAGTTCCAGGTTGTTTTTTATTACAACAGATGTGTGTGTTTGTTCTCCTTTTTTAATATTATGTACATAAAAAGGTGCTCCTTTAATTGCTTTCGTGATGACTTTAGCTTCTGCTTGTAAATGAGTGACCCAGATGCTGCAGTCTGCTGCAGAGATGAGTCAGTCTGGTCACCAGAGGCTGAGCCGCAGTGCTTACACATATAAATTAGACAGATGTGGACCACGCATTAATCCACCAGTGCTCAGACTCAAACAAAGTGAACATCAATCAAAATACAGCTCTTTTCGCTGATCTGAGTTTAATCTGTGATGCTAATTTCTAAGCAACACATATTACTGCTAAAAACAACATACAACTGACAAATGAAATGTGCCAACGAAAGTTGCAGTCAGGCTACAGGAGAAGAACAGGAAAAACAAATTATATATATATATAGTATATATATATATATATATATATATATATTGGAAAGCTGAGTAATTGTCTCTGTATACATGTATATAACATTTCTCCTAAGTAACTTCACAAGCTGTGAACAACACAGGCAAGATGCATGTAATCCAGTTTCTATATCGGGAAATATTAAACTCGACCTCCATCTGTCAGTACTTTCTCTTCTTCAAACTCCTCTTCCTCGTTGCTCTACTTTCCTTTTTGAAGGATGGTTTTAAAACACCATCTGAGAGAAGAGAAAGTGTTTGATTTAAATCTGGGCATGCTGCAGATTAAGTGGTGCAGAAGGGCGTGCATATCTGGGCCAATTCAATCTGGGAAACCCCAGAGACACAGCCAGGCCATCTGTCCCCTGGAGAAAACACACACACATATCTGCACACCTACTGCAGACCTGCATCATGCTCATAAAGGGACACAGATGGACAGCATTCCTGGAGGGGCCGTCAGGGAACCAGGTCTCTGTTGGCGGACCTGTTTCTGTTTACCTGAATGAGGACAAACAGTCGCTGACTGAATTAGCATGTCAAGAACTAAACACAGAACAGTGCAGGGAGGAAGAATGAGGGAATGAGAGTCTGCTGCCTGGAGCCTCAGGTAGAAAGTTTTTTATTGACTCAGAGTCATGTCGACAGGTTTTCCTAAATAAGGAAATTGCTGACGAAACAGCCCTGTGGTAGCTTTTGATACGTATGATTAAGAGGCTTTCAAAGGGCGACCTACAGGCCATTCCCAGCCAGAACCATTTTAGGAGGCCTGTGACTGTAATTCTAGAAAAAAACGTCATTTTGACCACAGGTAAAGAGGTTTGGGGAGGGCAGGAAGGGTAAGGGTTAGGGGGTTTTTGAGAAAAGTCTAAAGTGAGACGGCGAAGGTGTCATTATATGTCTAAGCCTCATCCGAGCAGTCTGGTCTTAGTAAACGATATTGACAAAAAGTCATTTCCCAGAAATATCACAAACGACAAACTAAATCAAAGAGATGGAAGGTTTCTTTTTTCTAAGATAAGTGTTTGCAAGCCTTTTTATTTTTATTTTATCGGCCCTATGGATTTAACCACAGAAAAGAAGGGGATAAAGGGACACATCACTTTTCCTTGATATCACCACTTTCTTTCATTTTATTAAATATATTAAACCTTTTTAAAATAATTTAAGTGTGGTCAGATCCACCAAATCAATCTGAAATTAGGCCATGGGATGCCAGTGCCTTATAATGAAGCAAGAACAGCTATTTTTGTTGTTTTTGGTAATCACAGTGATAAATCTGATTTTATTTAAACTGATCTTTCTCCTTTTAATTAAAGGTATAGTGGAGGATTTTCTTTTTCCAGGTGGATCATCAAAATAAGTGTACCTCCTAATTGTCAGTCATTCTGGTGATATGTTTACGTAAGGCAGTCCTACGTGCTCGTCTCCATTTTCACTTACCGTCGGTGAGTCTGACATAGTGGAAAATTTTCAAATCTTCTTTTGGAAAGTAAGCTTGTATGAGCGATGCAAACAGCAACCTCTAAACAGAGCGTGCACAAGGAGAACTGGCTCGTGCACGCTCTCGCACATGTTTAATAGGCCTTCCCTCTCGGGAGCTGGTACAGGGTGATGCATGTGCATATTTTTTTTTCAAGTGGAGAGGGCGGGTCTTTTCAAAAATTCCCGAAAATCCTCCACTATACTTTCAATTTAAAAATATGATAGTCTGAACCATGAATGTACAGCAGACCTTATACCACTGTTGATTTTTAACAAATCTAAGAATTTAGACTGTCTTAAAATTATAATTGTCTCCATTTGTAATCTTTCTACAGTACAAAGACCGCATTGTGATGGCAACCTTCCTTATGATGCTGCAGGATTTTTTTATTTATTGTAAAGTAAAATTTATGGTAACAAACCGAAAATACAGAAGATCACTTAAAACAATATAAAATAATATCCTTTAACCAATTTGAAAGGACATTTCACTTCTTTCAGTGAGTATGATGTAGGACTCACCACTCCCTCTTCAGCAGGGGCATTGTCTCCCACAACCAGCATCACTGGACACCTGCAGAAAAGCATCAGTATTTAGGATAATCCTTCTGGTTCTGTTGGATTATTTTGACTATACTTTAACAGTATAGTACTATGATGTTTTCTACAATTGTTTTGAACAAAGAAACCAAGCCAGTGATATGTCACATTTGAAAAGAGAAATATTTTCAAACGTATGAAGCCATGTATGAGGCTGTACCGTGAAGACAGTTTAAAAAAAAAACTCACTTCAAGGTCTTAGCGTTGATCGCTGTTCCTCCACGGTTCATGTCCAGGTCCCTCCGGCTGAAATAGGAGAAAAACAAAAAGACAACAGTGTGAGTTCGACCCTCCCTGTCATCTTAAGGTTGTGTCTTCTCCCAAACTAAATCAACATTGTTGGTTTTGCTGGTTCACCTGTTGTACATGTTCCAGAAAAGCTGCAGGTTGTGGTGGTTGATGGAGTTGGTTATCTGTTGTCGGTAGCTCTGAACCAGCTCTGTGTTGTTCACCATTTCGTCCTGTATAGACACACACGCATAGAAAAGTTGGGATCTCTAAAGAATTTCCTAACATTGAAGCATTTGCAAATTTTAGTCTATGTATGTATGTATGTATGTATGTATGGATGGATGGATGGATGGATGGATGGATGGATGGATGGATGGATGGCATATATTAGTAAAATAGTAGAAAAAAGTAGAAAAGGGGTTCAATAAATCCCTTATCTTACCTGGCTGAAAAGATGTGGCAACACAGTATCTGGGATGGTGCTGGTAAGTCCTGAAATCTGAGAATTCAGTAACAAAAAAAATCTTACTTTCCTTCCTAATTACTTGCAAAAATTACTTCTGACTTTATAAATAAATAATATTAAAGAGTACAATAAAAAAAAGAGACCTTGGAGGCAGCCCAGTCAATCCATCCTTTCCCGTTTGGGTCGATGTTGAGCAGAACCAAACCCTCCACCATGTCAGGGTTGATCAGCTGAGAGAGGGAGAAACAGAATTTACTAGTTTCCATAGCAAGTGTTTCAAAGGAAGCCAAGGTACTAATCGCTTAAAACTGAATGATGCAAGTGTTGCTCATTGAATTAATACCATCAAATTACATTTTATACAAGGCCCTCTATAGCTTTATAATCAGCTATTGTATTTTTCAAAGAAAATTCGGCAGGTATAATAATGAAATATAGTGATATCCTTCCCATGTTTTCAGAGAATTTTATTTGATTGGCCAGAAATAACTGGTGGTTATAAAATGTTGGTAAATCAAGTTGAGTCAAACATATCTTCTCACATAAAAAACATAACTTATTTCTTTGTACATTTTTACATTCAAACATAAATGAAATGCAACAAAGAGTTGAGATGTGCTTTGAGAAATAATTAAACAAGAACCAGAAGCTATAGCAGCAGAGAGCATTCAATTCTTAAAGAACGGTAAAACAGCGCTTATTGGAATAAAGTCTAATATATGGACTCACAGCGAACTTGGCCAGAATATAAGCTCCAGCTCCAACTCCAATCCCAACGATGCTCTTAAATCTGAATAAGATCAGTGATTAATTAATCTACCTTCCCAGAGCAAATGTTAGAAAACTAGTTTTAAAGCAAGGCAGAAAATTAACATCTCAGATATATTACATTTTAAAAAAGAAAATTAAAGAAATGCAATAATTTTTGGCTGCATTCCTTAATATGTTCATACATTTTTTCATAAAGTAACACAGGAAGAGTATCTGGAAGCTAAGCACTAACCCAAAATGCTGCACAACAGTCGGCAGCATGCCGGCCAGCTGTTCCATGGTGGGATACTGGTACCTATGGAGGAAAAGGACAACATTGGTATTTTTTAAGGAAATGACTGTTCTAAAACTCAATAACTGACTCATTTAAAACTTGAAATTAACAATTTTTTATTTATTTTTTTACAGATGTTTTCATTCCCACCATCTGTGAAAATCAAATAAAAGCAAAACCATCAAGGTAAATTCAAAATGAATGTAATTCTAATTAATAATTGGCAATAGCATTTTAAATTAAGTTCCATTTTTATTACAAAATCATTTTTTTTCTGCCTACTGAGTGTATATTTACAGTATATATAAATATTAATCTTTTTATTGCATTTCACTGCCTTAGTTTATACTCAAAGTTGCTGCATTAAAAATGGCAGCACTGCAACAGCAAATAAAAATGTCTTAAATTAAGTGCATTTGCTTCTAATTTGAGAAGGTAAATAAGATGCTCTTTTAATTAGTCGTAGGGAATTTGCTGTTCCAACCTTCCAAACAGTTAGCAACTTAGTCCTAGTAGGTTCCCAATGGGAAACTACATTGGGACCAAGAGGCACTTAGCGACGACACTGACAAGGAACGCTATGAACATGTTTGTATCGTACATGTTTGAGCCCTTGCCTCGCAACGCTGCCAGTTCTGTTAGCTCTACGCCTGCCGAAGACACAGACGTCCATCCCCGTGAACACTGGGACGCAACTCAGTGGGAAAGGAAATTATTCTTATTTCTTATTTCAACTGTTGCGTATATTAGCTACGACATATGAATCAAGATGCTGCGACCTAAAAGATTTGATTGACAGATTACATTTGATATATGATTGGCCAAATTTAAGTGTACAAGCTGACGTATAACTGACTGACATATAACAAAAAAAAAAACAGGATTTAAAAAAAAAAAATTTTTATAAAATTTTCTAACTTTTGGGACAATATGGTCTGATAAAGAGTACATTTATATACATGCTTAAGCCAGAATGATTTGACATTTAATTCTGGCTTAAGCATGTATATAAATGTACTCTTTGACATTTAAATAGGATTTCCCTATGATTTAAGGGTGTATTAATTTTTTTCTTATAATAAGATAACCACAGATTAAGCATTTAATATAAGATAATTTAGTGTTTTTTTTATTTCAAATATAATTAATCATATTCAGTTGGCAAATAGTCTTATTTAGCTGCTCAAAAAAAGAGAAATACACTTATATAAAATAAACTTACTTAGCTTAATTTTTTGCATTGGATTTCAAAATGCTAAAAGTTCTCTTTCTTACATAAAGCAGAGATGGGAAGTAACGAAGTACAAATACTTCGTTACTGTACTCAAGTAGATTTTTCTGATATTTTTACTTTACTTTACTACTTATTTTTATGGTGACTTTTTACTTCTACTCCTTACATTTTTACACAAATATCTGTACTTTCTACTCCTTACATTTTAAAAAATTGGCTCGTTACTTTAGTTTTGAATCATTTCAATGGAGTTACCGTTATTATTTTTCACGTCATCAATACCAAATTCAATCTAACTGGATGGGAATCTACGTTGCATTTGACGCACCACTACAAGATGAATCGACAGATTCGGCGGTATTCATTGGCGGCAAATTATTGCAGCTTGGTGGCGTTAGCATAGTAGCATGGACGACGAGATGATTGAAAATGAACACAACGGAGATCTAGTCCTATTGGCAGACATCCATTTAAAATGTAGGCAACGGCATGAAAAAAGTGGTTTCTACTTTTACTTTTATACTTTAAGTAAATTTACAAGCCTGTACTTTGTTACTTTTACTTGAGTAAAGAAGTTTAATCAGTACTTCCACTTTTACCAGAGTATTTTTTAACACAAGTATCTGTACTTTTACTCAAGTACGGAAAGTGAGTACTTTTGCCATCTCTACATGAAAGGTATAACAGAATAATAATCAACTTATGTAAATAAGAAAAAAATCTTTGAAACATATTTTAGAAACAATATTTAAACTAAAAGCCAATTTTTAAAAATGTATTTCCAATACTTAATCATTGACCTTAATTATAGGCTTAAACGTTTGATAATCAAAGCCTTTGGTAATGAGCATGTCTTAATTCATTGGTGAAACCTGTCTTTAAGAAAATTAAAAACCAAGCGTTTTATACCCTTGTGGGAACTGTGAAGCTCCAACGTGTTGTCCAGGGGCGTCGACATGACAAATCACAAAGTGCTTGGTGATCTCCTGCATGTCCTCGTTATTGAAGAAAGGGTTGAAGCACATCTTGTCTGAAAGAGGGAAAAAGAAAGGAGAGGAAATAAGGAAAGGAAGTAAGGAGCGACAGAGAGGAAGGGTAGGAGCAGAAAGACATAACCATAACAGGCAGATTTCTTAAAGGTAACCATGTTAACAGTTAATCTGCCCCCATATTCAGGGAGTTATAATCAAAGCAAACCAAACTGATACGTTGCTTATACTGCATGTTTATTTCCAAACTTTAAAAATTATGTAGCATTCTAAAAATGAGGCAAGTTCAGAAGTTTTTATTTACCTCATTGCTTTGTTTTTATTATTTTGCTTTTTCTAACTGACACAATGAAAGCTGAAGTCTTGGATGCACAAACAGCACAAAAAAAAAAAAAAAAAAGGATCTTTTTTTTTGTCTCTTAATAATGTTAGTGGGATTTAGCGAAATAAGATTAGTCTTCAAACTTTCTGGGATCAAGTTATTCCTTTACAGTCATGGAAACATTATTAGGCCAACTTGTTTTCTTTTTTTTCCCCCTTCAACAACATCAGGGATTCTAATCAAATGACATCAAAGGACATTTCAAGTTTATAATTAGTATTACTTCATTTAGTTCTATAGTGTTTAGGTCAGGTTTAAACTACAAATTTTGAAGGATAAGTAAGTTATTTTTAAATAAGTTGATTTTCACTTGATTTGCTGTAAGCAGGTAAATAACATAATTTGAATATGATGATATATGTTTAAAATAGGGGGAAAAAGAACTCCAAAGCTGCCAAAACACATGATGGTGGAAATATAAAGATGTTTTGAGTTTTTGATGACTTCACAAAGCAGTTTGTTGTGGGATGGACTCACAAAGGATTAGTTTCAAATTTAGAGGCCTGTTTCCTCAAGCACAGCAGGAAAACTCAAAACATTAAACAGAGGAATATCTTGATCCAGAGTGTCAGCGCTTCCTCCGCCCTCCTCCCACTGGCTCGGCAGTTGTCCTACTTTCAGCCCATGTGTGTCCAAATCAGTGAAACCAGGCAGCAACAATGGTTCCTCCTTTGGGCTCTGACAGAGCGGCTTTAATTAAACGGACCAATTAACATGACAACTGGGTTAGAGAAGAAAAGTGGGAGAAGGGCAGGAAAAAAAGGGCAAGTTTAGTGAGAACAGCAGCGCTTCTGCACTGCGGACTGTGTGTGATGGAAGTGAGCATAATTAAGGTGAGAACACGCTGAATCATTGAACGCTTGGTGTCTGCACTCCCCCTGACTCCATGACCTACTTTCTCTTTTTGTACTTTCTTTATCTCACTCTCTGCATTAGCCACTGAACTGCAGTGATTTCTGCAGCTCGACCTCCTTCCTACATCCAAAAACAACCCTCTGCTTCTCTATTTCTAATCTCCCTGTCTTCATTTCAGCCCCTTCCCTTTTTTGCATGTTCTCTTCCCTTGAATGAGTTTGATTGGACATCTGGCATTTCCATGCCATCTGCTTAATAAGACTGATTTTATTAGAAGAATGAACTTCCACTGAATCTCAGTCACGTTTCTTAATATTTGCACTGCAAAAACTTTCTAGAAGCAAAAAACATCTTTGATTAAGTGTATTTACAACTAATATGAGTAGGTAAGTAAAGTGATTTGCCATTGGACTGAGTATTCTTTTCTCTTAAAATCAGAGAATTAGATGATTGCAATTCAAATAAGACAAGGCAATTGTTTTTTCTTATTTTAAAAGTGTCTCACTTACCTCCTCAATTCAAGGAAAAATTGACTTATTTTAAGCAAAAGATTTCATTTTTTTGCTGTGTGTTTAATTTTTTCTCCTCCTTGCTTTACAGCGGTGAGCTGCAGTCATTGACAAATGACAGCTTGCTACTGCAGTGAAATACTGTACATAAACATTCCTTTGTTTCTGCTTCAACGTGCTGTTTATTTTCATATATTAGTGTACAGGTTTATTATTAGATTTCTTAATAACAATGACACCAGATGAAAAACAACAACCTGATATCCGCAGTCATGCCAGCAAACCACCCCCCATCCCCATCCCACCTCCACCCATAGATGCAGCGCCGCATTGCCGCTGGTTGGCCCCGCCCACCCCTCTCTGCAGGATAGGGATGTTTTTCTGACCTATATTTCATCAGTGCCTTGTTCATCACCTCTTTACTATTTGTGGCTCCATATTTTTTTAACGACCCTCCCCCAGAGACACTGTCAGTCTCTTTATTGTTTCTCGTATGTCTAATTCATTGCAAGAGCAATCAGGATTTAATGCACGCTGGCATGCAAGGCATTCAGTGACTCTGAACTTTGACATAGATGTGGCGACAGCTCAACACAAGAGTGTCTAATGCCAAGATGTGAGATTCTGCACAGAGCATAACATATTATCTATGCTAAGCTTTTTAAACCACATTTCTTTTGTCCCTAATGAAGATAAATTAACATCTAATTTACTGGATAAACTAATAACTGAGGTTGTCTTAATGTGTTTAATTGAGGTCTATCTATTTTTAATCTCAGGCTGACATCTGATAGTGATAATCCTGCCTTTTCTGCCATTTCAGAGCCTGCTAATCTGAACACGCATAAATCTGGCCCCTTTCACTCAGTGTAAAGGTAGATTAGTCGAGGTTTTTAGGTTTGATTCTCGACCGTTCAACATTTTACCTTTTACTGGTTTGAAATAAACATAGTAATTATTTAAACCCCTTTTACTATCTTTGTTTATGTTCCTATTTTAAAAGAAAATACCAATGATGAGGGTTTAAAGATTTCTTATCTCTACTTATCTTTAGCCTCTATTATCACACAGACATTTTGTGGAAAAAAAAATTAAGACAAACCCACAATCGAATCTGATATAATGCAAGATAGTAGCACTTTAGAGTCAGAGCATGGCTGAAATGAATATTGCATTCTTGGTTAGATTGAAAAGGATGCATTTGGTGGCTAAAGTGAAGCATTGTTTGATTGCAGTGTGTTTAAAGCTACCTATTTTCAAAACTTGAATTAATATGCACAAAAAAATATCTGCACACTGTTATCACAAATAGACAAAAACACATACTCATATGTTAATATTTTCCTGTCATAAGGAGTCACATTCTTTAATAGTCCTTTTATTAGGAGTTGCTAAAAAGCAAGAGTGAGAAAGGTAAGCATTCCTTTTTAGATTGAAATCCCATTTTCCAAATGACCAGACCCTCATGAAGAGATAGATTATTCTACATTAATTAGTATATTTGGCTAGTCTAAATGTTAAAAATTTCAAAATGCCATAAACAGCATGGAAAGAGACATTAACTGTTAATTTAGAATCCAGCCTCAGCTATGAGTTTTTTCATGGCTTGTAGAACATGCGGATAATGAGACATAGGGTGTGCGCGAGCATTTAAAACGTGTGAGCAGTTTAATCTCTGCAGCTTTTTCAGAGCTTACTTCTCCACAGGCCGTAATGTATAACACTGTGTGTTTACATAAGTAAAGCTGGCGTAGGCAGCAAAAGGTATTTATGTTTTTAAGCTCTTCTCTGTGACAATTTCCCTCCCCAACTCAGAGGCCTAATGGCAGATCAGCTTCAACCACTCATTTTATTTCGCTCTGTCAAGCACAAACAGGCAGAAGCAAATTTCTGCCTTTTTATGTGAGCTGGACCCACATCAATATATAGAGAGTGAAGAATCTGGGTTTAAAGGGATCTATCATTATGCATCACACACATCATTATAACAAAAATAATTTAATTTACCTTTGTGGTTAATAAAGTATTTTCAATTGAATGAGCAACTATTGGTTTTATTTATCATCACTATACGTTTTCAGGTATTTAACGTTACTATTTCTCCATCTTAAAATAAAATGCATTTGAACGCAGCAGTTGTGATACACAGCTTCCATGTCATTGCATCTCCATCAACTATACACGAACCCAATATGGCTGTTTCCCTGATAACCTTGTCTCTAGAAGCGTCTATTTGCAGAGCAAACCTTCATATTTGTTTGTCTGTTTCACTTACATGTAAAGGACAAATCATTCCAATTTAAAAAGATTGCAAAAGCCACAATATTGAATACTAATTAATCTGATCTCAGTAAAACTTATTAGAATTGTTTCTAAGGTAGGGAAATGCCCACAGTGACTGTAAGAAGCATTTTTACTTTGCTTTGAAGTTCTTAACTTCTAACTTAGTTGTAGTTGTGACTTTAGCCCTTTGAGGTGTTGTGTATCACACAGAAAGGGCTGGATGTGTTCTTGAAACATAAAAAGAAAGTTAATTATCACCTCTGAGAAGTGCAGAAACAGAAACAGCTGGTAACACATTACATCTTTTCTTTTGAAAACTCACGGTTCAGCCCCACGTCATGGTAGGTGAGGATGGCAGGCTTGTTTCCTTTGGGGGCCCCTCGGATCACCACGTGCAGCATCCCGTAAGGGGTCTCAACATCATGTTCCTGTGAAACATGCAAAAACACAGACTCACCTGGTGGCTCTACCAACAGACACATCAAAGGACGATACATAAACTTAAGGTGTTTCAGTTTTGAATAACTAAATAAGAACCAATTCAGGCCATTTATCTTTGTCATCCATTATCGGAAGATAGTTATTACAACCAATAAAGCATGATGGGCTTTGTGTAAATATCATGTTTTTAAGAATAAAATGGCAAAGAGCTTTAAAAGTAAAATCAGAAAACACAATATAAAAAAAATTAAATAGCACTATCACATAAAAGTTTTGTGAAAACAATAAAACTGCAGTTTTTGTTTATTTTTATCAAGTCCATCTAAAATATTCTGGTGAAGGGTCTTAGTCATTCAGGTCATACCCATTACAAAAAAGAAAATCAACAACAATCAACTGGACAGGAGAGTGGAGGATGTTGTCTATTCAGCCAGGCCAACAATCCCCTTTAACGACCCTCCTTTCAGAGACTTAGACGGGTATGTATTGCAGTCTAACAAAAGGAGCCAAACAACCCCCATTCCAAAGGGCCCCTTCGTCCGTTCAAATTTTCATGTTTTCAAAACAAAAACAAGGCTTTGTTGGGCTAATGTATAAAACCTTTAACTATTCCTGACATTTTGAGTTGAAAAAGCTTCCTGGATGGGAAGCGAAAAGTCTTCATAACTTGGAAATAAAGTCCAGTGGATTGTTTATAATTTTCTTTTTTGGAATATCTAATGTGATTGTAAGCAAACTATATACCTATACTTAAAATTGCACTATTGGTCGTGTTGATACTCCTTTATGAGAAAGTTCTTAAGGCTGAAGACTCAAAGTTAGCTTGATAAGGATCAGTGGCGTATCTGAAATGAAGTGGGTGAGACACCAGCTAGTAACCGCCTCGCATAATATGCTTCCAGCCAATCGTAGCAACAAATCGCGAGGTTTCGAAGCTGAAAAATCAAACGTTTTCCAAATTCTGTCAGAAGATCTACAAATGCACAAAGTGCTTCTGCTTGGTCTTTTTTTGAATGAGAAATCGTTGCTATTTTAGCTAAAACCGAGTAAATAGCGGTATCATCAGGTGAGTCCTCCAGCGTAGCCATGTTTTTTTTACCCACTCAAGGCCCTTGTGGCTGTCGTCATTCCTACATGTCCCGCCCCAAAAAACACTGCTGGCGTGTCATTGGTCCGACCCACTGGCAGTTCGGGGACGGATGTATTAGCGGGAGTCTTTCAAGATGGATTTGTGGTGAGACTGAAAACTGAGATTTCGTGACAATCCAGCTTGCAGTGCAAGGTTACATCAGTCATAAAATGTTTGGAAATGTTCTGTTAAATTTAGATAAGAGTCTTATTCTATAAGCCAGAGGTCTCTCACCCCACCTGGGGCCTGTAACATTCAACTTTTTTGTTGTGCATCTGCTTCACCTAACCTCATTCGAGTAATGAGGTCATTAGCATGATTCTGTAATATGCAACGACATGCTGAGGAGGTATGCCAGTCAGCTAGATCAGCAGGGATGCATCTAAAACGTACAGCACGCAATCTTTCCCTTTGAGGACTGATGTGCAAGACTTGCCTCTGCTGATAGTAATAGCTGACAATTTAAGGCAACAAGCTGGGAAAATGTTTGTTTGTTGTTAGTTTTGGGTGCAAAAGAGAACGCTATTCCAATCATGCATTATTGAGTTTTTATTGCATATCTAGTATCTTTTACAGACATGCAGACTTCACTTACATAGAGCAACAACAACAGAGAGGTAATGATTACAAGTTTTCCATTTTCAGTTTTTGCCTGATCTGCAGATCCATATTTACACAGATTCTGAGTTGTTTTGTTTGTAATACATACAAAAAGATTTTTGCATGTTCATATTCTCAGATAACTGAACAAATTGAAGATTTTCCTCATTTATGCATCAGTGCATATGTCCTTAACCTTTATGTGACATTCATTATACTAAAAACAAACCATATCAAAGCATATTTTGTTAATGAACACATTTAATGAAGCGAATAAAACAAACACTCTGTTCTTTTAAAGCATTTAAACTCCCGATCAAAGATTGTATCTGCTAAAATTTAAATTGCAGATCTCTGCAGGTCAATTAGCTGGTCTATCTCTCTTTTTATAAACAAAACAAAAATGTAACAACAGAAAATAAATGAGTCCTTGCTCTCCTCTGTGTCTATAATGCAATCAGATGCAGCTATGTCAATATGGTGAAATAAGTATTGACTGACTGTTAGCACTTTCGCTGCATCAGCTGAGCCTTAAATCAAAACATCTCACGTTATGACCCACATTTTGTCTGCTGGTCACGGCTAGGCAAATTCAAAATGGAGGCATGAAGCAAGTGTTAGAGCACACACACACACGCACGCACTGGATTCATGCTCTCAGCTGCACTGAAACCTCTATGATGATGCAGAACCTCTCTTCTTCATTCTCTGAGGAAAACAGACCCTGAGATCCGCTCTGTCACCCCATTATTTTCACCCACATCCCTACAATCTGCTGCTGTCAGTATCCCTGTTTGAGGAATAGCAAATATTCATGGTGCAGAATTTTAAATCTCTCATCGTAAAACAACAATGGGGGAAAAAAAGAAAAAAAAAAACAGAAATAAGCTAAGCGCCAAAATGTTCTATAATCCCTCCATCAGCAGAGAGTCATGTAGGAAACAGCTATGAGTTAATCCAGACAAATTATTATGCTGTTAGTTCAGCTTTAACATCAGAGTTATCCACACTCAGCCTTCTAATTTGACATCAACACACCATGATGTCTAGATAAACACAGAAAATGTGAAATTCATTGAAATTAGCTGAATAGAAGATCATGAGATGAGCAGAAGGTGCTGTAAACATTCTCTTATATAGGTGCAGATTTAAAACAGTCTTCCTCATATCTGTGTCTGAGGTTGAGCCCCAATGTTAATGCAGGACTGTGTTTGTATGTTATATGTGTCAGTGGGTCAAACTCAGAGGATGGAGAATCTTTTGGAGCGGGTGCTCCGCATTAAAACAGATCCAATATTTTAACATATAATCCACGTTTTAACCTCAATAGAGGCAATAACAGAGAGCAAAAAGAAATAAAAATGATTTTGTTTTTGGTCATGACTCACCCCATCCCAACACTCAGGCATGGTTGCTGTGAGTTAGCTGATGGCTGCAGGAAGGCAGACGAGCGGCCAGACCTTTCCTGTTTTAGGGGACCAGGTCCTGGTGAGCACTCGCTGGAGGATGGAGAGCGGGATGGTGATGGCGCAGAGCTCTGCAGCGTCTTTGTCTGATTGCTCTGCAGCCAGCCCAGCGCTCTTATTCTAACAGCTTCTGCCCCTCCTCCTTCCTCCCTTTTCCTCAAACATCCCTCATCATTACATGCAGTCGAGGGAAACATGGGCAGCAGGAAGGCGATAGGCTCAGAAAGCTGCTGCCCCCCTAAACACTCTTTCCTATTGGTTCCCTGTTCTGTCAGTCAGAGACTCTCTCTCATCAGCAACACTGTGTCTGATCAGATGAGATGTTGTTTACCCGTTTCCCTCTACCGCCTTGTTTGGATTTTGACTTTAAATAAATTGGCCTAAATCCTTTAATGCTAACTATCAGAGATTCTCATTCTACAGTCAATTGCAGACCGTGAATTATGTGAATAATGCAAAAGTAGACAAATAATCATGAACATTATTTGTATGATGTGTAGACAAAGTGGTGCAGACATAATATTTTTTACAGGAGTGGCCGGACAAGGAAGAATATGCACTTAGGGGTGTTCAGAAGTGGATAGGTCCCAAGGTCAACCTACACGGTACTAACAGGGAAACAAACACTCATATTTCCCAAATAGTTCATCATAGATTCTGTGTCCTGGTTGGGTCGAGGCTTTTGAGGACCCAAATGCAGAGATCAGGAAGCGGTGAGTCTTGCAGGTTTAAAATCCAAACATCCAAAATACTGAGAACCCAAAATAGGATTAAATCAGGGAAAAACTCATGTGGGAAGCCAGAGATGGGGGGGGGGGGGGGGGGGGGGGGGGGAACAAAACAACAAATTAGCACTGAGTGACTGCAGAGGTGGTGTATATATTGGGAGACTGAACCCAGGCAGGCTAATCAGCAGATAGGGAGCAGGTGTGGGCAAGACCAACAAGGAAGAAGCCAAGGGGAAAGGAAAACAAGCACAAAGGGAGAACAGAGGGTAAAATGGAAGCTGAACCTTTCTCTAATCTTCATCACTTTGATATAGAACCATGTTTTACGCCTCGAGTCGTAGGTTTAACCCAACCTTGCTTCTCATTCACCCACAGAGTTTATTAGCAGTAGAACTCTTATGATGCTTACAAACTTAGAAATTTTTGACTGTATTTTTGCTAAATGAAGTTGTAATTAGGACTAGTTCAATAGGCATTATTTAGTCCTGCACTGGTTTCATTTTGCTCTAGACTGATGTGACCAGACGAGTCTAGCTGCTCCTGAAGGTTAAGGGTGTGTTTAAAAAAATCCACTGTAGAACCTCAACCGTTGAAGAAAGGTTTTGACGAAAGCAGTTTTAGCTGAAATCTGAACATTTCAAACACAAGTCCTTAATTAAGATGGATTTGAAGGCAGCAGCTGTGGAGCGACCAAAGTGTCACAATATTTCCATGCCTAATTGTTTAAATATTGAATTAATTTTACATGTACAAATCAAATTAATAAAAAACGGTATATCCTGATTAAATAAACAATTAAATAACATTTGATCTATTTAAAGTTAAAATTATTTCTGTCTTACTATCATTTTTGGATGATATGTGCATGCATTTGACAAATCATAGATATAGATGTTTCCAAAACTTTTTTTTTTATATTCAATAATAATAATATTGTATTCTGTTAAATTCTGGTTGATCTTATTGCAAAATGTAATTTGTTCAACTCCAACATGGATTAGGATTTACACTTTCTTCTAAACGAAATTACATTTTTTATTGCTATTACACAAACAATTTAGAAA